AGGAGTAGGAGTAGGAGTAGTAGTATAGCAGCAGCAGTATAAGTAGTAGTAGTAGTAGTAGTAGTAGTAGTAGTAGTAGTGGTAGTAGTGGTAGTGGTAGTAGTAGTCGTCGTCGTAGTAGTAGTAGTAGTAGTGCTTTTCGTAGTAGTATTAGTAGTAGTACTAGTAGGCATAGTGGTAGTAGTAGTAGTAGTAGTAGTAGTAGTAGCAGTAGTAGTATGAGCAGTAGTAGTAGTAGTAGTAGTAGTAGTTGTTGTTGTTAGAAGTTAAGTAATTAGTCGGAGTGGTGGTGGTAGTGGCAGTGGAAGCATTGCGGTTGTGACGATTCTAGTGTCAGTTGGCATCATCGACGAACAGTTGGAAGACGATTTCGGAACACCACAAATATCGGCCTACGGAATACGCGTTTGAGGTTGGAGCATACAGCACGCTGGTATGAGTGGGTGCTTGTCTTCTGCATGTGCTATACCGATTGCACCTGGTTGTGTCAACCTGTCTGCTGTGGTAAACTGGTAAACTTCACATCCGTCACATCCGTTTTCGGAGTTGTCTACATCCTGCGACATAGACTGTGACATTGTAGAATCCTTGTTGTAAACAAGTTACAGAAGCAACCCTGATTGTGAGAACCCTTGCTTCTTGCAGGATCTTACAGGGTCCCCCTAAACCCTAAACCTTAAACCCCACACAGGGACTCCAAAACCGTAAACCCCTAAGTTGAACCCCCCATGTGACTAGGCAGCTTTGACGCAGTTTCAGTCTCCGTTTTTATGAGGGCATAGGCTTACGGGCCTTTAAGTGCAAGTTTAAGTTGAGGGTTGTTTGTAAGGGGTCTGGGTTTAGGGCTTCATTGGTTGAGGGGCACAAGGGTTCGGATTCTTTAGTACTTCAGCCGATACATGAGGACATGAAAACCCAAGACCCGCAACCGCAACCCTAGAATCCAAACTAAGCCTTATCCAAACCCTAAGCCCTCTTTTCGCAATGCCCATTTTAAGACCCGTCTTTCAGGCTCGTAGGCTCATAGCGACTGTCGAAAGCCTTCAACGCTCTTCGCGCGAGGTGCCCTGGGGCCATGAGAACTGCTTGGGTGTGCAGCTGACCGAGGAGGCACTAGCAAGCTTTGGCTTTTCGATCTAGGGCTTCCAAGGGTCTAAGCACCAACAAACTAAGTATAGCACGAACTCTGGGAAGAGGGAGCAAGGAGGGTAAATGCTTAGTACTAGCTCATCGAGCACATCGGCTCGAAGAGAGAGCATCCTAATTCGGCAGACGCTCTCATTAGCTCATTGACTCATGTGCTGGCTGCTAGCTGTTGTTCAGATGCAGAACCGCCGAACTCTAGGTCTGAGCTGCAGTTGCAGATTTTTGGCAATCTACTGGCTCAATCTTAGAAGCTCCGTGCATAAGGTTGAGGTTTGACTTTGAGGCTAATGCACGGTTCTGCAAGAGCCAAGCAAGACCGCGCGATTATGCGTACCTAAAACAAAAATGTCTTACAGCTAAATTTGATCCGTGTCCACGCCTGGAGCCCGGAGCAAAACAGCCATACACCTGCAACCAACCCAACGTCCCATCCCCCCGCCCCCCGACCCCTTAACTTCAGAACCTCAAACCTTAATCCTCCACCAGTCAGAGGAGATCCTGAGTCGGTGCTTGACACCACAATCTCAGCGAACTCCCAGCCGACACCTGGCAGCAGAAACTCCACCACTGACATCGCTCTCGGAAGTCCTGCTATGAGGTTGCACATGGGTGCCATACAAGTATGCTTTGATGGATGCGATGGCATGGCATGGCATCGCATGGCGTGGCATGCTGTCTGTATGTGTGCATGATCCATGTGAGCATGTGCATAAGTGTAAGTAAGTCAGCCTGTATAATATTTAGGGAGGTAGGTAGGTAGGTAGGTAGGTAGGTAGGTAGGTAGGTAGGTCAGCAGGCAGATGGGTAGGAAGTTGTAACTTGGTTTGTATATACATGTACACATTCATGTACGTTACATTTATAATGTTGAATGCATGTGTCTAATTATACACATAGTTATGTATGCATGTACGTATAGATTCACGTAAGTAAATACATAAGCCAGTATGTATGTATGCATGTAAGTTTGTACGCATGTATGTGAATACGTGTGTACATACGTACACTTGCATATGTGTGCATGCATGTATATGTGTACATATGTTTGATGTGTGTGTGTGTATATGTATATATGCTTGCATGTATGTCAGTGTGTAAGTGTGTACTTATGTATGCAAATATGGGCTAAGTAACATGTATGCATGCAAGTATGTAAGTAAGTATGCTTTCATTGCTTGGATGTCTTGTATTCTTTGGCATTGTGTCGTACGTATGTATGTATGTAATTCAAGTACGTACTTTCTGTACATATGTGTATGCATGTCGCATATGTATATGCACTGCATGTACATCTACAAGCATGTTGTGTGCATGAATATTTTTATGTACTTGCATCCGAAGAGGTTGACGTGTATGTATGCGCATGCGTGTTTTTGTATTCGTGATCATACGTGTCCATGTGTAGAAGTGTACATTGTTACTGGGAACATGTGTACATGTGCATAAGTGTGGATGTCTGTATGTATCTGGGCTAAAGTTTACATGTATATGTGTAATGCGCATGTATATTTTGTACATATGTAAGTGTACCTGTAGAAGTATACAAGCATATGTACTGTATCTGCATATGACTGCACAGGCATATAAAATGTCCGTGTATGTGTATGAGCATGTGTATGTGTGTGTAATTTGCATGTGCATGTGTACACGTATGTGTATACGTATCGTGTCTGCGTTTGCATTTGTGTAGGGTTTTCTTGTTCAGGCACATGTTTATGTTTAAGAAGTGTGTGTTCGTGTCTGTATGTAGGTATGCAGGTATCTGTATGTACGTAGGTAGTTATGTCTGTATGCTTGCATCTGTATGTACGTAGGTAGTTATGTCTGTATTCTTGCATTTGTGTATGTATTGGATGGCTGTTGGCTTATGGGAACATATTGGAAACACACACTAACTGTTCGTGTTTGTCTGGGTTGCAGACAAGACTCTCTTGTTTTGTTTAGCTTTGAGAGGAGCACTTCTGCAGGTTGTGCTGAGATTTGAAGTTGCGGGATCCTCGGGGTTCATCGATATAACTACATCTCACTAACACTGCGCATAGCAGTAGCGCATCTGTCTGAATGACCTGATAGTAGTGGTCGTCACCTTCGAAGCACGACTGGAGTGTCCGGACCCGGAGGTAAAACAAACAAGGACCGGACCTGGGGCCTGAGACCCAAGACCCCCAGACCCTCGTCCGGGCTACGGTGGCTGCGGTTTAGGGTTTGGAAAGGCTTTGGAATTCACCCCTCAGCTGCTAAGTCAGCCTCAACTGGAAAATGCCTGGACTTAGGAGCCATTTGGCTGATTGGGGATTCTCATTCCTTCGCCCTTGTGCCGTGCATCACTCCGAGTGCGAATGCAGCTGGCCTCAATGCCGCCTCGCTGCATGTCGGGCTTCTTCCCCCGATCTACATCTCGGATGTACCCCAACAGAACAAGTTCTGTTGTGAATCTAGTTGCGCCGGCTTAATGCACACATGGTGTACTCGTGTGTATAGACACCTCTCTCCCTTTGCATACGTGTGAGTCTGAAAATAAAGACAGATAGGGCCTGTACTACTACTACTACTACTACTACTACTACTACGACTACTACTACTACTACTACTACTACTACTACTACTACTACGATGACGACGACGACGACTACTACTACCACCACGATGACGACGACTACTGCGACTACTACTATTGTAGGCGCAGTTGCCGGCTAGTGCCACTGCTACTACGGCCAGTGGTCATGCGGACATCAGGTTTACAACTACAGCTGGCCAGCACACCACGCGCGGTGGGCTCAGAGTCGATGGAGAAGTGCCCGTCCCAATCTTATCAAAAGAAACTAAGCCCTCCCTGACATCCTGCAGGCTTCCTCGCAATCCCCAAGAAGCTTCAGCTCAAACTTGTTGCTGCTTTTTCTACTCCGTCTGACTGGCGAGCAGAGGCTGTTGCACTGTATCTTGCAGATGTGATTTCTGAAAAATGGCGCCGTCCCCCTAGCCCTACCTAACAAGAACTCTAGGCCTTACCTTCCGTACCGGAACGCCCCAGCTTCCTCCGAAGCATTACATAAAAAACCGAAATCCGGAGCTGCTGGTCCTCCGCCTTCTGGGCATTGAATTTGATCTCAAACATCACCTGCTGCGGCCCAACACGACAGGGGCCCGGCTGATGCAGGAGGGTAGCCAAACGAATGAATCGAAGTTTGTTTTGGCAATACTCGCGCAACTACCCATGGGCATAGAAGTAGACCTCGTTTCTGCCTTATCGTTTCGGTACCTGCAATACTATACACATCACGCACCAGCTGCCGTTGGTGTCACATCCCGTCTGGCATGAGCGTCTCCTCATCGGAAGCCTGAGATTTGGTTGAGCGCTGGCAAATCTCAACTGTATGTTGCCAAGCTGTAGGGCAGTAGGATTGCCACGCTGTCTAGCATGCTAGTAGACCACACACCACAATCCTAAACCCTGCAGCCTTAACTCAAACCGTAGCCGCTTAACCCCAAATATGCTGAACCCTAAACCCCAACACACCCGGAGAGACTTCCAGAGGATCTGAGAACATTACCCTCAACCGCAAACCCAAAATCCCAAGCCCTCAGCCCGAAGCCCTGAGCCCAAATACGTTCATATATTTCC